GCTAGAACTTCCAATAATTTATTGGATATGAGTGGTGAGAGAGGGAATCCTTGTCTAGTGCCAGATTTCAAAGGGAATGCTTCCAGGTTTTGCCCGTTCAATATGATATTGGCTGTTGGTTTGTTGTGAATAGCTTTTATTATTTTGAGATACGTTCTGTCAATACCTAGTTTACTGAGAGTTTTTAGCATAAAGTGCTGTTGAATTTTGTCAAAGGCCTTCTCTGCATCAATTGAGATAATCATGTGGTTTTTGTCTTTGGTTCTGTTTATGTGGTGAATTACGTTTATAGACTTGCATATGTTGAACCAGCCTTGCATTCCCAGGATGAATCCTACTTGATCATGGTGGATAAGCTTTTTGATGTGCTGTTGCCATTGGTTTGCCAGTATTTTATTGAAGACTTTTGCATCTATGTTCATCATGGATATTGGCCTGAAGTTTTCTTTTCTTGCTGAGTCTCTGCTGGGTTTTGGTATCAGGATGATGTTGGTCTCATAAAATGATTTGGGAAGGATTCCCTCTTTTTGGATTATTTGGAATAGTTTCAGAAGGAATGGTACCAGTTCCTCTTTGTATATATGGTAGAACTCAGCTGTGAGCCCATCTGGACCTGGGCTTTTTTGGGGTAGTAGGCTCTTAATTACTGCCTCAACTTCAGACCTTGTTATTGGTCTATTCAGGGTTTCGACTTCTTCCTGGTTTAGGCTTGGGAGGATGCAAGTGTCCAGGAATTTATCCATTTCTGCCAGGTTTACTAGTTTATGTGCATAGAGTTGTTTGTAATAATCTCTGATGATGGTTCGTATTTCTGTGGAATCTGTGGTAATATCCCCTTTATCATTTTTGATTGCATCTATTTGATGCCTCTTTCTTTTCTTTTTTATTAATCTGGCTAGTGGTCTATTTTGTTGATCTTTTCGAAAAACCATCTCCTGGATTTATTGATTTTTTGAAGGTTTTTTGTGTCTATCTCCTTCAGTTCTGCTCTGATCTTAGTTATTAATTGTCATCTGCTAGGTTTTGAGTTTTTTTGATCTTACTCCTCTAGATCTTTCAATTTTGATGATAGGGTGTCAATTTTAGATCTCTCCTTGCTTCTCATGTGGGCATTTATTGCTATATATTTTCCTCTAGAGACTGCTTTAAATGTGTCCCAGAGATTCTGGTATGTTGTGTCTTCATTCTCATTGGTTTCGAAGAACATCTTTATTTCTGCCTTCATTTCACTGTTTATCCAGTCAACATTCAAGAGCCAGTTGTTCATTTTCCATGAAGCTGTGTGATTCTGAGTTAGTTTCTCAGTTCTGAATTCTAACTTGATCGCACTGTGGTCTAAGAGACTGTTTGTTATGATTTCCATTCTTTTGCATTTGCTGAGGCGTGATTTACTTCCAATCATGTGGTCAGTTTTAGAGTCGGTGCGATGTGGTGCTGAGAAGAATGTATATTCTGTGGATTTTAGGTGGGGAGTTCTGTAAATGTCTATTAGCTTTGCTTGACCCAGGTCTGAGTTCAAGTCCTGGATATCCTTGTTAATATTCTGTCTCATTGATCTGTCTAATATAGACAATGGGGTGTTAAAGTCTCCCACTATTACTGTGTGGGAGTCTAAGTCTCTTTGTAACTCATTAAGAACTTGCGTTATGTATCTGGGTGCTCCTGTATTGGGTGCGTATATATTTAGGATCATTAACTCTTCTTGTTGCATTGATCCTTTTACCATTATGTAGTGTCTTTGTCTATTTTGATCTTTGTTGGTTTAAAGTCTAGTTTATCAGAGAAAAGAATTGTAACTCCTGCTTTTTTTGCTCTCCATTTGCTTGGTAAATCTTCCTCCATCCCTTTATTTTGAGCCTTTGTGTATCCTTTCATGTGAGATGGGTTTCCTAGATACAGCTCACCGATCGGTTTTGGCTTTTTATCCAATTTGCAAGTCTGTGTCTTTTGATTGGGGCATTTAGCCCATTTACATTTAGGGTTAATATTGTTATGTGTGAATTTGATACTGCCATTTTGATGCTAGCTGGCTTTTTTGCCTGTTAGTTGATGCAGTTTCTTCATTGTGTTGATGCTCTTTACCATTTAGTATGTTTTTGGAGTGGCTAATACTGGTTGTTCCTTTCTATGTTTAGTGCCTCTTTCAGGAGCTCTTGTAAAGCAGGCCTGGTGGTGATGAAACCTGAGTACTTGCTTGTTTGCAAAGGATTTTATTTTTCCTTCACTTAAGAAGCTTAGTTTGGCTGGATATGAAATTCTGGATTGAAATTTCTTTTCTTTAAGGATGTTGAACATTGGCCCCCACTCTCTTCTGGCTTGTAGGGTTTCTGCTGAGAGATCTGCTGTGAGTCTGATGGGCTTCCCTTTGTGGGTAACCCGACCTTTCCCTCTGGCTGCCCTTAGCATTTTCTCCTTCATTTCAACCCTGGTGAATCTGACGATTATGTGCCTTGGGGTTGCTCTTCTTGAGGAATATCTTTGTGGTGTTCTCTGTATTTCCTGGACTTGAATATTCGCCTGCCTTGCTAGGTTGGGGAAGCTTTCCTGGATAATATCCTGAAGAGTATTTTCCAGCTGGGATTCATTCTCCATCACATTCAGGTACACCTATCAAACATAGATTAGGTCTTTTCACATAGTCCCGTATTTCTTGGAGTCTTTGTTCATTCCTTTTTACCCATTTTTTCTCTAATCTTGCCTTCTTGTTTTTTTTTATTGAGTTGATCTTCCACTTCTGATATCCTTTCTCCTGCTTGATCAATTTGGCTGTTGAAACTTGTGCATGCTTTGTGAAGTTCTCATCTTGTGTTTTTCAGCTCCATCAATTCACTTATATTCATTCCTCTCTAAGTTGTTCATTCTCGTTAGCATTTCGTCAAATCTTGTTTCAAGATTCTTAATTTCTTTGCATTGGGTTAGAACATGTTCTTTTAGCTCAGAAGTTTCTTATTACCCATCTTCTGAAGCCTGATTCTTTCAATTCGTCACACTCATTCTCCATCCAGCCTTGTTCCCTTGCTGGTGAGGAGTTGTGATCCCTTGTAGGAGGAGAGGCGTTCTGGTTTCGGGTGCTTTCATCCTTTTTGCACTAGTTTCTTCCCATCTTTGTGGATTTATCCACCTGTCATCTTTGTAGTTGTTGACTTTCAGATTGAGTCTCTGAGTGGATGTCCCGTTTGTTGATGATTAAGTTATTTCTGTCTGTTTCTTAGTTTTCCTTCTAACAGTCTGGCCCCTCTGCTGTAGGACTGCTGTGGTCCACTCCAGGCCCTGCTTGCCTGGGGATCACCTGCAGCGGTTGCAGAACAGTAAGCATTGCTGCCAGTTTCTTCTGCTGCTATCTTTGTCCCAGAAGTATACCCGCCAGATGTCGTTCTGAGCTGTCTTTTTGAGGTGACTCTTTGGATATACAGGGGTCAGGGGGCTGCTTGAGGAGACAGCCTGTCCTTTATAGGAGCTCAAGTGCTGAGCTGTGAGCTCCGTTGTTCATTCAGAGCTGCTAGGCAGGTACATTTAAGTCTGCTGCAGCAGAACTCATAGACCCCACTTTTTTTTTTTTCCAGGTGCTTTGTCCCGGGAAGTTAGGGCTTTATTTCTGGGTTTCTGTTGTGGTGGTGCCTTTTTTCAGGGCTGCCCTGCCCAGTGAGGAGGCAGCCTAGTCACTGTCTGCCTGCAGAGGCTTTGCTGAGCTGCTGTGGGCTCTGCCCAGCTGCCGTGTGAACTTCCCTGCAGTCCTGTTTATACGGGTGTAGTTAGAACTGCCTCGGCAATGGTGGCCCACCTCTATAATGGCGGACTCTCTCTGTAATCGTGGGCTGCCTCGGCAATGGCGGGCTGCCTCAGCAATGGCAAACTACTTACGTAGTGGTGGACTGCCTTGGTAATAGCAGATGCCCCTCCCCCACAGTGCTGGACCATCCTGGGTTCAGCTGTGTTTGTTGTGAAACTCTCAATCCAGAGCGTTTCCGATTGCTGTTTTTTTGTGGGGGTGGGACTGCCGAGCCTGATCACCTGGCTCCCTGCCTCAGAGCCCTCTTTTTTTTTTTTTTTTTTTTTTTTTTTTTTTTTTTTTTTTTTTTAAGTTTAATGGTTGACTGTCTCCCAGGTGTTCCAGTCACCTGTTGAAAAGTCGCTGGGATCTGTGTGATTTCCCATGCAGTGACCCACTGCGCCAGCTGAAACAGTCGCGCTGAGATTCATGGCACGGGAATCTGCTGGCCTGGCTTCCTGTTTCAGTCCCCTTTTTAATCAGATGAATGGGCGAGTCTGCCTTTCCAGAGCTCCAGTCACCAGCTAAAATGGCACCTGGACCCATGTATTTTGTATGGAGAACCGCTGTGCTGGGGCGCTGGCAAAACAACCACACCGGTCAAAACAGTGGCGCCACTGGGCGAAAACAGCTGCGCCTGCCAAAACAGCTGTGCTGGCGACCCGTGGGGCTCCTCCTCCTGGGAATCTTCTGGTCTGTGGGCAATAAAAATTCGTCTGGAAATGCAGCGTGCACTCATCCTCCATGCTTTAGCTGGGAGCTGCAATCCTGAGCTGCTCCTAATCGGCGACCTTCGTTCAAAAAACCGAGGCAGTTCTTAAAACTTGTTTTTTGACTGGCCTTTGCACATCTTTAGATACCATTATATATTCACTGTTACCGAAAATCTTTTGAAAACGTTTTCTACAGAAATTTTCAAATCAACACAAATTAGACAAAATTGTATAATAAACTTCTCACTCGACTTATCAACACTTGACTTGTTCTGTCTCTTCTCCCACCACCTGTCTCACTGTATTATTTTAAAATAAATTTCAACTATTATATCTATAAATATTTCAGAATACCATATTTATTAAAAATTTCTGTGGAGTATGAAATGGTCAATCATAAATACTTTTTACAGTTTTAACTTGGCTATGTCGTATTTAAAATTACCTGGTGAAGTATTCATATGAGCAATTATGAAGAGTACTGTCTTCCTAAAATAACGTTTTACTTTCAATTGCAGGGAAAATTATAAAGTCTGTTCCTGGAAAACTAATGAAAGAGGTGAATAACTGATTTATGTGTTCTATAACATGATAAACATAAACATTTAAATATTGATGAATTTTAATGGATTATTTACTAAAAATCATCCTTATTTGTTATTTTCTTAAAATTATCACCACAGAAAGGTCAGCATTTGGAACCTTTTATCATGAGTTTCATTAATTCTTGTGAATCTCCAAAGCCTAAACCAAGTAGACCAGAACTGACCATTCTCAGCCCTACTTCAGAAAACAACAAGAAGGTAATGCAAATTACATTAAAGAACTATTAAGTTTTAAGTTGCCCTACTTGAGATGACGTTTTTATTATCGGGACAGTGAATCCTTTGTTAATGAAATGGATTGAGCTATACATTTCCTTTATATGGAAATCAGTTGCACAGTATGCAGACGGTATTGTGTGTGATTTCTTGAATTACTTGGTTCTTACTTGCTTAACTGTGGGAAATGTTTCTTTGGATACTATATTTGCAAACTTGTGCCACTTTTGTATTTGGGGGATTTTTTAAAGTGATTTTCTTAGCTCATATGTCACTAACTTCCAATAATAATAAATTAATTGCTATATTGTATTTATGTTTATTGGATGGCATTACCTAATTTTAACGGCTTATAAAGTATTTTATCCGTTCATTAAACATTTTACTATGTGCCTACTATTGCATGCTAGGCACTGGGAATGTAAAAATACATTCCTTGTCCTGAAGCTGTTTAGTGCCAAATTGTAGTGCCCAGCATTGGGAGCTATGGGAGCTCAGAAGACCTCCATCTTTATTTTTGTTATTACTCTCTGCAATATCTTTAATATTATTATTTTCATTTTATTACTTTATTGTATATATAGACAGAAATACAATTTTTATTCAGTAATCTTGCTAGACTTATATTAGTTTTAGTAATTTCTGTTAATTATTTTATATTTACACAATTGTCTGCAAATGATTGCAGTTTTGTTTTATTTCTGACTAGGACTGCTATATGCAAAGGAAATTGTTTCATTATTTCACCACTGAATAGAATAGTGTAGCTCTTTTTGTATTACTAGATAAGCTTTATAAGATTAAGGAAGTTGCCAGGCGTGGTGGCTCACTTGAATCTGTAATCCCAGCACTTTGGGAGGCTGAGGTGGGTGGATCATTTGAGGTCAGGAGTTTGAGACCAGCCTGGCCACCGTGGTGAAACCCCACCTCTTCTAAAAATACAAAACTCAGCCAGGTGTTGTGGTGGGTGCCTGTAATCCCAGCTACTTGGGAGGCTGAGGCAGGGGAGTCACTTGAACTCGGGAGGTGGAGGTTGCAAGTGAGCTGAGATCATGCCATTGTATTCCATCCTGGGCAAGACGCTGGCTTAAAAAAAAAAAAAAGATTAAGGAAGTTTACATTCATGTTTATGGATAAAAATAGCCTACAATTTCTTATTCTGTTCTTGTTAGGTTTGATATCAAAATTTTATTAGCATTTTTTATTTTTGGTAGACTTTTTTAAACATTTGGTAGAGTTGGTGAAGTCATCTAGGCCTCCAGTTTTGTTTGTAGGAAGATTTTTTATAACTCATTTAATTTCTTTAACAGTTATAAAATTCTTCATGAATCAGTTTCAATATTTTTGGACAAATTTTGTATTTTATCTAAATTTGTAATGTTATTTGTGTGAAGTTGTCAATAATTTTTCTTTTTGTAATTTCTGACGTCTGTAGCTATATCTCTTTATTCTCGACATTGTTTTACAACTTCTCTCTTTTTTAAATTTGATCAATCTTGACAGGATTCTGTTTTATCTTTTGGCTTTGTTGAGCTTTTCTATCAGACTTTTTAAATTACCTAATTTCTGTTATTTTGAAAATTTCTTTGTATTTCCTTGGGATTTTTTTTGTATCATAGTTTTAACTTCTTGTGGTAGAGCTGCTTCCTAATTTAGCCTTTCTTTTCTAATATAAACATTAAAATGTATACATTTTTCTTTAAATCTGTTTTTAACAGTTGCTTGTACATTTCATTATGTGGCATTTTTGTTATTCAGTTCAGAATTTTTTATGATTTCTTTTTTGACCTATGGGTTATTTATAATTTTTTAGTTTACAAACGTTTTTGAATTTTCAAGTTGTTTCTTTATTGATACTGATCCTAGTTTAATTACATTGTAGTCAAAGAATACATTCCATGTGATGTAAGTTTTTCATTTTCAAGAACAACTACCTCATTGATTTCTGACTTAACTAATAGCTTGTCATTTTTCCTGGTTTTATAACAGACTCCTGCCATTTTTCCAGCCTCCACCCACTCCTGGCTTCTAAAGCTAATGCCGTGTATTTTAGGTTTATGTTATGGTAGCACCCTACTTTTAGGTACAAATCACTAAAACATTGTTGTCTTATAAACCACTCCAAAAGTGAACAGTTTAAAACAACTACTTTTTTTTTTTTTTTTTTTTTTTTT